TACTTTGAGGATGCTGTGATAGATGGATTTGTCACTCAGGAGATACCTTGCAAGTTTTAAGCTCAATGGAAATATAATGAATCTGAAAGTTGGTACAGGAATTTTTATTCTCCAGTTTTCAGGTTCACAGGTGTGATTCCCCTCTGTGCCTTTTTTTACTGTTGACTTCCCTTTGATATGCAGCTTAGGAGTGTTAGCTAGCTGGTACTTTTCATGGATCATCACTTCTGTATTGTTATATGCGTGTTTGCATGCTTCTTGTATCTTTAGACAGGGTTTTAAGCATGCTTGATAACCTCCTGTCTTGAAAAACATGTTTCTAGTAATAATGAAAAGTGGAAATTCCTTAGTAAAGCTTAAGTGACAACTTATTTAGAAATAATTCTATAACAACATCCTTACTGAAGAAGGAAGTGGTTTCTTCATAGTTCTTCACAATGGGTAATATGAAACGTTATTGTATCTGCTATGACTTTAAGAAAACGAAACCTGGCTCTTGGAAGTCTGGTTCCTTTGTCTACTTGGTTTTTAGTTAATGTGTTCTTTTGGTAACTTTTTTATCATTTCATGGGACTGTATAAAGCACTTCACAAAAAGCAGGTTAGTGTAAGAATGTAGACTGTAAAGTGTTCTAAAAGATGTGGGTTTTGGTCCCAGTGGAGACTGACACTCCAGCCTACTTACTGTAGCTGGAATGTATTGATTTTCTTCTCCCCCATTTTAGCTGCACCACTGAATTAGGAATTGTGAAGCATCTCTCCCTGTGAAGAGAGGAAAAACTGTCATGAACTTTTTCATCGAAACAGTACAGCTTTTCAGACTGAACCTGATTGAAAGGAAAAGTCTGTAAGGACTCATAAAAACCTCGTAACTCAGCTCCCCTCTCACATTCGTTGCCCTCCAACAACTGTTTCAGTAACCTTGAGAAAGTATGATAGGTGATGGCAAGAAATTGATTTTTAAATCTTTTTCCATTAAAACCACCACCACCACTAATAATAATTATTATTATTAATAATAATAATAATTAAAAAATAATAAATACCTGAAAATGATGCATTCCTGTGGCATGATCTCCTAAGGTTAGCAAAGTAGTCTTGTTCAGGTTTTCAGCAGGATGTTCAGTTACTCTTATAATTGGCTGATGAGTAGGTTTGGACCTAACTAAAATGCCAGTATTCGATTTTGCACTGTCCTCTGTGAAGATATGTCACCATTTACCCTGTCTTTAGAGACAATTTTCTAAAAAGGAAACTCGTGGGAAATCATTATGCTGTTTATATGTCTCCCTTGTTGGAGAGCATTATCCTGTGATATTTTAGCACTGTTTTCCACTGCATGATGGCATCTAGGTAAGGTTAAGGCAGAACAAGTCCCTTTGCAATTTTGTGACTATATTTTACTTGCTGTAGGAGAAAAGATAACCAACAATTAAGTATTTCAGATGTCACTGTAAGAACAGGTGCATCTAATCAATTAAATCCTTAGGAAACATGATTTTATAAAACTGATAAGGTGGAAAGATTGGGATTTTTGTGATTTCTGTTACATAATAATTGCACCTTTTTGATGAAAAAGACATTTCTGCTGATGTAAATACCAGGCTTTCCCTTGTGTGTGTTGTTTTGTTTTTCTTCCTGAAACATAGAGTAGTTCGTTAAAGTGTGACAGTAACAGATAAACACCCTTTACGATATTTTAAGAATATATGGCGTCTATACTCTTAGTTTAGCTGAACTCAATGAGTTTGAAAAATGCATTTCTGGAGTCACTTCCCAATCACTTGCCAGAGGTTGTGTTAGGTGTTTTAGTTTGGGAAGTTTTTATTTATTTTAGGAAGGAAATACACATGCTGGTTTTAGGTTTCTTTTTAATTTAGTCTACTTGGCACTTTGGGGCCCATAATTGAAACTCATTGCTATGGTCTTGATACAGTTCAGATTAATTGGAAATTCACATTACAAACAAGCTAATTGTGAGACTATTTCTTTGAAAATATCTATCTTCTAAGTTTCGGATTGCAGAGCGAACAGGTAATAGTCATATTTACAAGCCAATGACATACATACACTTGAACGAACAAAGGCTACAGTTGAGCATATCACATCATAAATTATTGACAGTAGTGTAGAGACTTTACGTTCTGGTACCTTTTCTAATCGGGCATTATTTAAAGATCATCGAGTTTGCAAAATACGTATGTCACAAGTTTTCAGTTAGACGTTAAAAGTCAGTTCTGTTATGGGTTGCCCCACTTAAATTAAGCTGATTATGTTAACATTTATTTCTGATTTAGGAGTATTCTTTTTGAACAACTTAAATAGGAAGCTGAACATGCTCATATTTTTCTCTGGACATCCACTTTGGGCCACCAGCAGATGTAGGAAATGCAGCTACACAGACACACCTGATCCAGTAGGGCTGGGGTTTTTTTGTTGTCGCCCCCAAGGTTTTTTCCTCTTTTCCTTTGGTTTCTACCATGTATAGTAAGTGAATGGATTATACACTGGCCCTTTTTTATACCACAGCAAATTAAGTTAAGCTGGAAGATAATTTCCCCCTTATCAGTATAATTAACTTGTACGTCCATTTATTTTTTAATTGCTTAAAATGCATGTGACATTACATCCATTGAAAAATCCTCATTTGTTCAGTGCAGTCATTCCTGCCTTCATAAAGTTCTGGAAATGACAGAATTCCCAGTCAACAGAGGCAACATCCAAGATAGAGTACAGTGCAAATTGCCTTTGCTTCTCTGCAAATTCTACATTTTCAAGTTTATTGATCACCAAAGCAGAGTTATTGACAGTTAACAAACTATATGGATTAGCACACTAAACCAGATGCTATTTCCTTACATATTTTTCTGAAATACATTTGGTCAGGGCAGGGTTAGCAACGCTTGGGTTGACTTGATACATGTCATATAAAAAAAAAAAGGGAAACAGAATAAGATATTAATCTGGAGTGAGTGGAAGTAAAAACGAATAAGAGCTGTTGGGAGTTTTCCTTTTATACAGTCATGTATCCTTGTCTTCCCTGACAGTCACTGTTCTGTTGAGCAGCCTCAGCAGGCAGCTCAACTTTTGGAAGAAGCTGTCAGCAGGTGTAAGTATGAGGTTGCATGTAAGCACTGTATGTCCTTAAACATCTTTATATAACTTTCTGCAGTTCTTCATTGCATATAAATATTAAGATTATTTATTTGAGCAAACAACGTGCATTGTTATGCAATTCACACACCTTCTGAGTATGCACTTACCTACACCCCTCCTTCTGTGCATAACCTGAATGCAGAACAGGATAAATTCTGCAGCAGCAGAGTGCTGACTTTTCAGAATGCAAATGAAGTGGCATTTTTTAATGCAGCATCTTCATACAGAGGTGAACTGAAAGGCTTAACACTTGCCAACATTTCAGACCTCCCTGTTTGTTACATCCATTGAAATATAGAACAGGAGAGTTCAAAAGCTGCTTTTTTCCTGTTGGTTTTGGGTTTTTTTCAGACTTGTTAGTGACATCTGCAGCTGTTGAAGAACTGTAGATTCTGAATTCAGATTTGCAAATGTAACATAAAAAAATAAGCAGTTCTCAAGTATCTTTGTTTTCAAATGTGTTTCTCTCTTTAAGTCTATGCACACCTTATTGAATTTTAACACTTAACTGGGTTTTCATTACACAAATAACCAAACCATTCCCTATAAAACCTACTGTAAAATCTAGAGGAACTTCTAAATGTCTCTTCCAACCTAATTTTATTTTTTTTTTGTAATCTTGTTATTCTCTACATCCTGTTGTGTCTCCCCAGTGATAATTATAATGTAAAAGAATATACACACAGGAGTAAGTTACCTCCTGAATGTAAGCAGAGTAATGTTTATTCCCATTGCCAGTCTTGTTTCTTCTCTAGGTTTGTTTCTTCTAACACAGGGTGTGAAAATGATCAGGATGGATGTGGATAGCTTTACTTGTACAAGTTGTTTGATTTATAAATCTAGTGAAGTTTCTTCTGTGCATACATCCTCCCTGGATCAGGACTTTATGAAGGAAGGAAAGGTTTTTAGGAAAAAGCTTGAGGCTTTCACTTGCATGTGAAGTAAGTGTATTATCAGAATATGCGGCAGTATGAACAGTAAATAAATAACGGCTTAATCTTTCAGGTGAGACATTGGTTGAATTCATGAACTGTTCTGTTTGCCCCATGAAAATGAAGAATAAATGATTATTTTTGTTCTGCTTCTTTGAAACTGTCAGAGGTCTACTTTTTTCTTTAAGAGTCATTGTTTCATGATGAACATGCACTTGAGAAGCTCATTAATTTGCTACATATTTTTAAGTATACTTGTAATTAATTTACCGAAAATTGTAAATCATCTCATCAATGGAAAACAAAGGAGAATGGAGTCCAGTCTTCATGTCACTGCTCCGGAAGAATGTGGCACACCTAGCCAGCAGCATTTGGTCAGAGCTCTGTCATTAGGAGTCACAGTGCAGATAGGAGTATGTTGTAAGCTCATCTGTCAAGCTAAGCAAAGAGTTTCTTTCCCTTGTTAGCATTTACCAAGGCATGTATTAATAAAATTACACCAAGTGGAAACTTCAGTTTTCCACTGGTGTGGCAGACGGGAGTCTCCTGTGAGGTGAACATAAAAGCACTGTGTTATAGCTGATTTATGCTTTAAATAAACAGGATTTTATTCACAAATGAGTGTGCCAGTAACTTAGTTCCAGAATCAGGCTTCTCTGCTTGAGAGACATCTAGCTTGGCACCAGTGATGACAGGTGAAAAACAATGTAGTAGCATGAACTGAATGTATTTATATGTGATTCATTAAGAACTGTGGTTTTCCTACTGAAACTAAATACTACAAAATAGGTGTAAGAATTGAAAAGTGTTGCAAATGGGAAATGTTTTGGTAGCTTGAATAAAAGTGTGTGATAATTAAGATACTAAAAAATCTTGGGTTTCTATTGTGCCTTTTTTCTTTATTTTTTTACAGACAGTCATTTTAGAAAATGAAGAGCTCCCTAAAATATTTCTTGATTTCCTGAATGTTCGCCATGTACCTAGCTTGCCAAAAGCAGAAAGCTGTGGGTAAGCTCTCATTTACTGAAAAATACATGGAGGCCAAAAGGCCCATATTCACTCAGTGCTGATGCAATTCCATTGACTTTAAATGGTGTTGCTGCCAACTCTAACACTGTGAAATAAATGGGCGTAACGTTCATGTTGAGAATGTTTATATATCCCCAAAAGGTGGTAAAATAAATCCAGACTGTTCAAAGACACAAGTCAGGTTTCATGTAATATTCTTAGAAAAGAGAGTTTAGATGAGGAAAAACATGATTTCCTCATAGATCTTGAAGTATCTACTGAAATGTACAATACTCATAAACACTCACTAAAGTTGCATAGAAAGCCTATGCATGTGTCTAATGGTCATAGTAACTGCATAAGATAGAAGTTCATTCTATGATCCTTCTATGATCTCCCTCTGTGTGTTTGAAAACGGGGTCTTTCACCTTTCTGGTGACATCAACCCAAATGGCCCCATTGCCTTTCCATTGGGAAGGGCTCTTGATCAGGGTGGGAGAAGGGAATCTTTGTATGATCAATGTAATGACTACAGAAATACCCCAAACAGTGTAACTGGAAGCTCTGTTACCATCTGCAGCTGTAAGCTTTGTAGGGAAAGTAATTTCTTTTGCTATGCAGGCTGACATAGTTAATAGTCCAGCAGCATCATCAGAACTTGCTCCCCAGAAAGCTATGTGGCTCTTTCCCACTTCAGGGGAAGCTCTCTGGATCTGCAGTGGAGAGGAGGCAAAGTGAAAAAAATGCAGGTAATTTTGAGGCCCTCTATACACTGGGAAGCGTCTGGCCCAGGGCAGTCTCCAGAGGGACTCAGAAGCTTACAGACTTGTACTTTCACTTGCAGTGAATAACCTCAGGCAATACCTTCAGTGGGACTGTACCCCAATGCTTCATAGACAAAGAGATGTGCTTGTGAATCTATTTCAGTAAAATGGATGCTGTCATTTCCAAGTAGAGGTTATTGTAAAAAGATACGACCTCCCACATTTATTCCATCGCATGACATTATGCAACTACTGACTATTAACAGATTCCTCCCTTTGATGGTTCTTAAAGGATTTGTATGGGTTGGTTTTTTTTTTAGTGTAGAGTTAATTTTGCTTAACCAAAGTTTCCTGTCACTTTACTTGCAGCTCTTTTGATGAAACAGAATCTGAAGAATCAAGGTAAGCTTGATGCCTACTCTTTCTAGGACACCAGATTAATAAACTACTTGAAATTATTGGTGTTTACTATATTTGTTTGGTGCAGTTGACAAAATGGCAGTAGTATAGTATTAAAATTAGATGTGTTGATAATCATCGCTAGTTTCATCAGCTGTGGTAGATCCATCCATTTGTAGCGTGAATCGAGCATCCTTATATTGAGAAATTCCTTGCAAAACCCTAATAGAGTACTGCTAGCTCTGAAATAATTTATGGGAATGTTTTTACCCATTAATTTTAGATAGCAGGAAGATTTGCCAGAAGGAAATAGAGGTTTGGGTTCTCCACTATGCTTTTTGACAGGTCATTGTATGTACCTGGTTGAACTACTTGGCACGTGCATGTACAGAGCAGAGGAAAGAGGGCTGGAGGGGGATGTCTGTACTGTGACCAGAATGGGAAACAGCCCTGCGAAGAGCTACCGAGGGCTGTGGTTGTAGGTGATCTTGCAGCCTGCATTATATCAGGTACCAGGGAGGTCTCAAAGCCAGCTGCCAGCTGCCCCTCCTAACACAGCCCCTTCACCTCAGCTTCACACTGGCAATTCTGCTGTGCAGCTGAGGAGCAGTGAGCTTTGCTCCCAGGAGATGAAGCCTGCTCTTTCTGGGCAGCACTGATGTGCAGAAGCACACTGGCCATGGCTACTGCATGGCTCAGCCACCTTACTTTATCAAAGCTAGTTTGTACAATACTCTGTTTACTGTCCCTTGATACTGACATCTCTGTTCTTGACCTTTCCAGCAAACTGTCCCACCAGCCTGTGCTGCTGTTCCTAAGGGATCCATATGTCTTGCCTAAAGCCAACGGTAATGAAACCTGTCATCTGTTAACAGTGCTTTACTGCTCTGACCCTGCACTGCATAAATCACATTATTATTAATACCAGCCTAGTCAGATGACACTGGTCCAAAATCTAATAACCTGCCAATAAAACGATAGTTCTTGTGTAAGAAACCATTAAAACACTAAGTGGGGTGGGCGATTTATAAAAGGGTGGGATTTTCTCCCCCAGTTCTTCTCTCAGACAAATCTACTGAGAATTCAGGTCAAAAGAAAAAGAACATTGCCCTTTTTTTCTTCTTGTTGACCCTTTGGGCTGTTTTGCCTGAAGAGAGGCACAGTCCTTTGTAAGTGCTTTTCCGTAAACACCAGTCTATCTCCTGTGACCATGTTTGTATTTCCATTTGGATTATTACTATTTCTTATCATTTATAACCTCTAGTGCTCTTCTGGGGGAGTGGGGAGGGAGAATAGGAATGCATAGTTTGATGTATGTCACAGGACATTTTTGTTAACCTTCATCTCTTAATATGTGGTTCAAAAAAGTGTCTGAAAGAGCTTTTAATAAACCCTTTTTTCTTTTTGCCTTCTTTTAATAAAATGTTCTTTGCATTATTAATTCAGAGAACTTACCCTCTGTCTTAAATTAAATGTGTGCAGGTAAAACAAGAAAAAAAACATTTTTAATAGTGTGTGCCTCATGGTTTTATCATTTAACTTGAACTGATATTTCTACTAAATCTAATATTAAAATCGTAATTGTACTTTCACGGGAGAATTTTCTCCCAGAGCTGCCAAGTAAGATTATTTGTTTCATAGAGCATTTTTTTTTTATTTTAGAAAATACTGTATTGAAATCAACAGGGAGGTTCTTTAGCTGCCTTGAACATCATAAAATTTTTAAGAGTAAATTTAGGAAAGAACACTTTGCTTGAAATTTCTTAGCCAGCAAAGTGTACTTCATTCACATTTTCTCAAGATGTATATAAATACCTGAAGGAAGGGTGTAGAAAGACAAAGCCAGGCTCTTTTCAGTGGTGCCCAGTGCAAACACCCTCACTGTGAGGGTGACAGAGCCCTGGCACAGGTCACCAGAGAGGAGGTGGAGTTTCCATCCTTAGAGATCCTGAAAAGCTCTCTGGAAATGGTCCTGGGCAACTGGCGCTGGGTGTCCTTACTTGAGCAGGGGGTTGGAGCAGATCACCTCAGGAGGTCTCTTCCAGTTGCGGTCATTCTGTGATTCTGTTGTTTTTTTCAGGCTAGTTTTCAAAACCCCAGGGGCCAGGCTCACGTATTTTGAGAGGTTTAAATAGTCTCCCTGACTGGCAATGTCCACTCTAGCTAGTGGTGTGGCCCAGTGGTATCGACCCTATAGAGTCTTACTGAACTTGAAATTGTAGTTCTAGAATGAAACAGTGGAGAGATCTTGTGTGACCAAGGTCCACATCAAAAGACACATTAAAAGGTTATTTAGTTTTTAGTCATTTAGACTTGACCTAGACTGAATGCACATCTGAGGCTGGAGCATACATCAGAAAATTGATACACCAAAGCACAGGCTGGTCCTGGCGAGATTGTGACTTTACAAGATCACTCCTGACCCAAGTGACAACACAGTGCAGAAGGACTTGCAGAAATACCTCTGTCTAAAAGTTGATCCAGATGCTAGCTGTACTGGTATTTAGAGTGGATCACAGTTGCATGTTTTAATCTTACTGTTTAATGCTCCTCTTAATTCCAAACTTGGATTCCTCTAGAGCAATGTGTAAATTATGAACATAATTTAATTCTGTATCATTTATGAGAAAGAAAATGGATTTTATAGTCAGTTACTCTGAAAATGAAGACAGCAGTTAATGTTTTCAGCCAACACGTAAGGTTTTGCTGCAAGACTTCTGTTCAGGATTTTGCAGTTCTGTGATGGTCTTCCTTCCCTAATATATGACTAAGGCTGAGCTCCCTTTTCCTGAAATCATTAGGAACTTCACGATGAATTTTGTAACTACTCCATTAAGTAGTGCGTCACTTGGATTAAGATAAAGGCCTCTTCTAATGCTTGCCATGTTTAAATATTAAATAGGCCTCATTAATGACACCTGAAACAGAAGACTTCTACAGCTTTTGCCAAGTAATTTTCTGGCCTTGACACAGTATTTACATTTCATGTGGCACATGAATATTCTTTGTATTTGAAGACCCTAAAACAACAAATTTGTTTGCAAGTTACTCTCTAACTTGAATTAAAACACAAATTAGAATGTGAGTTGTAGTTTAAAAGGGAAGAAAATTCTTAAGTCTAGAGGCACTACTAGTTAAGTCTAGTTGGAAAGAAACAAAGTTTTTACAGCTTTTACACACTGCCTTTAATTCTTCTTTCATTTTCAGTTTGCAGCACAGAGAAAATATAGACGAGCTTTCTAAAATTGTCTCTCAGATCAGTTCTGACTTTTTGATAGACTCTGATTCATTTGTAAAAAAACAGCCAAGGTTGTTCAGATTGTGACCAAAAGTGTCCAAATGAATAATTATTCATTTTGTGTAACTCTTTGAAGGTGATCTGTGAGAGTTGTTTGGCTCAGAAGTGCTCAGGAGTTATTCCTCCCTGGATACAGGAAGGCCTGTGTTAACATCTTGCCATAAAAAAGGAGATTGTGTATTTCTGGTTTGGTTTTTTTTGTTTTTAATGAAATAAACAGTTCTTTCTGCAAGATAATACTTGGAGAACACTTTTTCCCCCCTTCATTGCACTGATACTTGTCTTCATAAACTATCATCTTCCTATTATTCTAGTGACTGAACTTAAGCATTTTTGAGTTGCAAGGCAACTTTGCAAAAATAAGACTCACAGTTACAACCCTCATTGATTTTTCACACTGATTCTGAGCGCATGAGCACATCGCCTTTTGTGTAAGGTGGCCACTCCATTTTTAGGGGTGGGGAAAAAAACCCAACATGTACTATTTTGAAGAAAAATTAATTAAAAATATAAAATGCTGCAAATTTAAAATGATGCCACAGAAGCTAAAAAATGGAATCTCAGATTTAGTGTCACTTGTTCAAAAACTGCTGATGGTTCTTTAAGCTGTGTCAGTATCACAGATTTGCAAGACTATGTATGCTTCAGTGTATTTATACAGTCAACTGAAATCAAATTTTTTTCAGCAGCAAAGCCTCACAGTAACTTTGATACTGTAAAGTTGCATATTTTTTTTTAATCAATACTAATTTTCCTATATATTCTGTATGTTACAGAAGAACCAGTAAAAACTTGTTTCTGGAACTGCAGCATTTAATTTGGAAGGAAAGCATCAGATTGCCCTTACAAGTGTATTTTTAATAACATTAATGACAACAGCACAGGGTTATTCTGCCAGGGTGACTGGGGATAGCTGAGCTTGCAGGATTTGAGGAATCATTATTGGATTCAAATTATTAACGAGTAATTTATGACTTACTATGAGAAGCTGGGAGAATTATTCACGTATTGTTCACAGTGGATGTTGCAGTTTTTTAACACTTCCTAAAATATCTGTTTGTAACATCTTTAATACACTGGAATCACCGTATTAATGCCAATGAGATAACACTTAGCTAGTAAGGACTTCTTTTTCCTTACCAAGTCCAAGTCTACTTTTTGCTCAGTATTTTTATCTCCAGAAATATTTTGATGAAAGAATAAGGGGAAACATCCCACCCACATTCGGTGACCTAATTTACCAAGTATCTAATGGTTTTTATAAAAGTTACATCTCCCCATTTTGAATAGCCTGTAGGCTGATAGGTGAAGGAAAGATCTGATTAGTGTGGAAAGTTCTGTATCAGAACAGGTTGCCCAAAGAAGTCATAAATGCTCCATCCCTGGCAGCGTTCAAGGCCAAGCTGGACAGAGCCTTGGCTGACATGGTCTATTGTGAGGTGTCCCTGCCCATGGCAGCAGCGTTGGAACTAGATGATCTTAAGGTCCTTTCCAATTGTACCAGTCTGTGATTCTATGGTTCTATAAACAGTCTGTTCTTCTAGGCCAGTCCATCTCCTAGTGTAGCAGCAATCATATGAGGTGATCAGAAAATCTTACTTTTAATGTTTAATGCCCACTGATTTAAGTGAACCCTCCATTACAAACGCAGGAGTTGGTGCATTTGAAAAATAGTTTCACTTCAGTAATGTACATTCTTACATTCCCCTGCGTGGAACTATTACTGTGTTCTATTTGGTAATTCCTTCTTGCTAAATCTAAGATGAAAATTCAGTGCCAGTTGCCTCTACATTTGTGGTAAGAACATAGTGGGTTTTCTTTAACTTCAGATATTAATAGGATGACTTCTTGTAACACATGATGTTTTATATTGATTAGACAGGCTGAAATTTTCCTACCTCATATAATCATCTCTGACTGTACAGGAATCCTCAAGTCTTCTCAGTCTAAACATTTCTGTAAACCACAATGGAAAAACAGCTTAGAAGTATTCCCAGTAGCGATCTTGGAATTTCTTCAAGTATATTGAGATTTTGTTAGAAATTGAATTGCCAGTGTAATCCATCTTCCTTGTGAGAAAAGATTCAGATAAAGAGCTGGAGCCTAGCAGCATTAGGTATTAGAACATCCCTTTAAATCAATAAGCTACAAATCTGGCAGCGCATTCATGCAATGCCCAGTGCTACACTAAAGTGGCTTTAATGCTGAAACAGCATTACTAATGGCACATCCCCAGCACAGATAAACAGTGGAGTGGTGCGGTAACCCACATTATATGAGGCCTTACCTAGTTAAGTCTCACAAAAACATTTATATTGTGCTGGCATAGGTAAGAAAGCAAAGTTCTTTCTTTTTTCTTTTCAGATGACTTTCCAAACGTAGTTATAGAAGGCATTCTACATGGAATATTTTATCCTCATTTACTGCCCAGGTAGAAGTAATGTGTGGCTAGAAGAAGCTGAAGCAAGTCTCCGAGTCATGTGTAACAGAATTAACAGGAATAAGTATCTGAGACGTGAATATTATGCTCAGAAGGGAAAGGCACGACCTCAGTTCAGGTTCAAGCATTCGATTTTTTAAGTAAAATCAGTGTCACTACAATTGCTGCTTCAAAAAAGAAAAAAAAAAGATATGGAAGCAACAGTACTGAAATTATTTATACCTTTATATGTTGACATACTCTATTTAACACTAAAACCTGAAAGTCTTACACTGAATTACACTAACCTTTGAAAATAACTGAAAGCTTTACTAATTATTACTGTAATTTCTATCATAAATTACACTAAGCATTTTTACAACAGGATTTTTCCCAGCATATTACCCATTGCTGCCACTGGATAGATTAAAAGTGCTGGCACTTAAGAGATTGTGTGAGAAATTGCACTAAAAACAAAAAAATTAAGAAGAGACTGAAAGCAACTTTCAATATTTAGTTAATTTCTCTTAAATTATTTTGAATCTGCTTCTTAGCATCAGGTTGGAAAAGAGCCAGTGCAGCTGTATGGAGAGTTCCTACTGGAAAACATTGCTTCCGTGTTTTGAAATACATAGCTCACTCTCAGGAAATTTTGTAGATTTCAGCTGAAATGACTTTATGTACGAGGGGATTTTCCATGGCATTTACACATCTCCATTCAGTTATAACATCTAATCTGTGTGTGTTTACTCTTCACATCAACTTGCAGACTGTAATCCATATCTTAACATTTTGTAAGTCACAGAGCACACAGCTCTGTGGTAAGCTAAAACAACAATATGATGTAGTAAATTAATAAAACTAAAAATTATAGATGTATAATTATATATATATATTTGTTCAGATTTAACTGGAAATTTGTATGTGTGCTACTGGACTTTACAAAATAAAGTACTAGATGAATGTACTGCTTCAGTGTGTCTTTGCATTTCTATTCAGACATTTCTCTGAGCTTGTGTCTCAGAGATGGGTCTCACAGATACCTCCACATGAAGCACGAGAAAATGCCTGGTTGTCTGTTCATTTAAGACTCTCAGCAGCATGCCATGTGAGCATGATAGGCTTATGAAAGTGCATGTTTTGGGGAAAAAAAATCAGCATAAATTTAAAAGCCAGTAAGTCACTGGGCTCAGAGAAAGGAAGCATTGCAGAAAAGCCATACTGGCAAAGCTAGGCAGGTACAGCAGTCGGGTCCTGGCAGCACATGGGTTTTGAAACTGGCTGGGGTGATGAAAAGGTGGGCCTGTGACCACAGCACTTGTTCAGTCAGCAGAACCCTCTACATTGTCTGCAGATCAGCCACCAAAAAAGCTTTCAGCTACCTGCAGAAACTGAGCTATTTGAGGGAGTCTGAGGCTCTCTCACTCTTACTGCCCAACACTGCTTCTCAGTGCTGCTTCCCAGAGAATTTTACTTGAAGCACTAGAAATAAAAATTAACAGTGGTTAAGATGGGAGCCATATTGTGTAGTACTAGGCACATTCAGAGACTCTCCTCTAGCTTTGTTTAAAGAGGACAATAATCCTTTCTCATGTCTCTATAAAAAAAGTGTCAGTATTTACCCTCCAGAGAGGCCCCAGGGCTGCAAATGGTGAACCAGCAGCAGCACCCCCTTGAACTGGAAGTGACCTGTCAGAAGACGCAGAGGTAAATCCCTGCCCACAGTGTTTTCCTGTTCAATTACAACAGGGGTGCCAGTAGATACCTACAAGCTCTGTGCTGTCCCAGTTCACGCTCTCCCCTGCACCACAGTCTGCATACCTGACCTCGGCATCAGAACACCCTTCAGGAAACCCATCACCACAAAGGTTAAGCGGTGTACTGTAAACTGCAGGTGGGTGCATCTTCCTTCAGATCTTGGCATCGGTTCTTGTAGCCTGAGTTTTGAAACACTGGAAACTCAAGAAAAAATCCACATCTCTCTCATTAAAGAACCTAACAAACTCAGGTGTCTAAGTAGTTACCTTATGCTGATTTTGTTTCAAAGCTACCAGTTAAGCTGTCAACTTGAGTTACTCAGAAGCATTACAAAAACAGTGAACCTGAAGTTGCACCTCTGACATAGAGCAAAACTGCAAAAAAGCAGCACTTATCGTAACTAACTTTAGCTAGGAGTTACAAAATTCACTGTGCTGTAAAGCAAGGACTCTTCTGTTTTAATGAGTTTCTAAGTGATTATCCTACTTAACAGTAGACAGAGCTGCTCTTTCTTGATTACAGGATGGCACATGAATACTGTTGCTTTTTAGAAAGAAGGGATTCTGACATACTGGAGTATGAAAGTAGAGAAATTTACCATTGTAAAAGCAAGGACTCTTCTGTTTTAATGAGTTTCTAAGTGATTATCCTACTTAACAGTAGACAGAGCTGCTCTTTCTTGATTACAGGATGGCACATGAATACTGTTGCTTTTTAGAAAGAAGGGATTCTGACATACTGGAGTATGAAAGTAGAGAAATTTACCATCCCTGCTCTAATCTTACCACCTCATTTCCTGAGAAGCAGCACCTCATACACACTTTGCAGGATCAAATAGGGTGATAAAAGAGGCCAGAGGCACAGATGGAAAGGGTATAGAAAAAGTTCATTCAAGTATTTATTTGAAATAAAAGTTTATTTATTCAAACAACATTTTTTTTTTTTTTTCATTTTTAAAAATGCTGATAGTGTTACAGAAAATAATATATTCAATTGAAAAGCTGGAAATATTGCAAAAATTTCCAAAAATGACAACTGTACTTCAGACCTTGAAAAAATAAAAATGCATCTAAAATTTTTCATTAAAGACTTTTTCTGCAATTTAGTGAGATATGTCTTGAACTTCAAGGAGTGACAGCTCCTTAAAATAGTTACAGAAATGCTTGTATCTTTTATGTGTCTGGCAAATAATAAGTACTATCTAAATACAGCCTGATGTATTTTGACGAGAAAACTCAATAGGATGGTGGAGATCAGTCAAAAACAAGCCTTAAAAAGAAAGTGGCAAGTTTTACTTTCCATTCTGACTGTTGGTCTCACCAGTCACCTACTTCAACTACAAATGGCTCTTTTACAGCTATTTTTCCACTGTTCACAATCACACAGTCTTGAAGGGGCCGGTCGTGTTCATCTGTCTGCTGGAGTTCTATCGAGTGTACCACAGACTGTTAATACAAAAGAGGAGAGAGTTCAGTTTATCCAAGGAAACTGCAGTGGCTCAAGACTGGGACCACATGAACAACTAAGTGCTCCAAGCATTACTACATACAAAGCAACTTTAAAGACCTTTACCCAGCTGCGTTCTTGACATGCCTTTTTTTTCCCCACATAAACAGTCATGCCACTATACAACCCAAACACAGCTTACAGAAGGAAGGTTGTTTGCCCTTCCATAAAAACCTTAACCCAACAAAAATATTATGAAGGGGCAACTCAAAATATCCTTTCAGCTGGCCGACCCTAGCACATTCAAGGGTCTGTCTGTAGCCTGTGATCAAAAAGTGTAATCCAAAGATCGTAAAGGATGAGAAGTGCTTGTTTTTCTAATTGTAACAGCACAACTGGGCTTCGAGAAATCTGATGCATTAATCTAAACTAAAAATTAGTCTGAGCTGCTCCTCAAAAATTTTCAGCTACTACTGTATCTCATGAGAATCAAATTCATTATGAATGTGGAAGCAGGGGCAAGTGTTCTGATGAGGTTTTCAAACCCCTCAAAAACTGGTCAGTGCAGCACTTCAGGTTTCCCCCATTCATTCCAAAACACAGATGGAACAGAATGACTTAAAAGGAAAACCAGACTACTGTGAGTACAATCAGCTGGAAGTACCATTTTTCAATTTAAATTCTATTTGGCGTTTGATCAGTTTTGCAGCTGTGCAGAGCTGGAGGGAATGGGCTAGATTTTTTTTCTTTTTTAAACAGATCTTTATACTTTACATTCACATGATTGTAAAAACCCTAACGGTGAAAGTGTCATCCTTAACTAATACATGCTACAGAAGTAGACTTTAGCTTGTAGAAATACAATTATTTCATGGCTAACAGCATTAGCGACAGGGGAACCTGAACCTTCTGCATTTGTAATCTGCAAAGATGTCAGTGTTGATTTCAGTGGTTAGTGGCCTAAACAAAAGCTGTGAAAGCCAGAGGCATAATTCAAGTTTCCAGTTCTGCAGTCACCATTTGTACTTCCAAATCATCCAGCTTCAGGCTCTTCACAATTGTTTTCTACTATGTACATACTAGATAACATTCAACTGTTCTGAACCACACTGGTGTAAATTACACTAACGCAAATAAAACATGGCAGAACTTGTCCAGATTTTCTTGGATAATCTTGCCACTACTTTTAGCTTACCATTCCATCAAGGACTTTGCCAAACACTACATGTTTTCCATCTAACCAGGAAGGCTTTGTCACACTGATGAAGAACTGGGATCCATTGGTGTCTGGACCAGAATTAGCCATGCTAACCCACCCAATTCCATAGTGTTTAAGCTTGAAGTTCTCATCTGGAAATTTTTCCCCATAGATGCTTCTTCCTGTGACACAAAATCAGAAACAAACTTTAAAAAAAAAATCCGAACCAAACCAAAACCTTTTAGTTCAAAAATGGGAAAAACAAAGTATATATTCAGGACTTCAAGATTCATTGTTTGAGTAAACACAGCAACATCATTGTTCCATTGTCAGTGATTCCACAACTAAAAGCATTTTGGTGTAAAGAAAAAGGTAAGGTAAAACATCGCATGTAAGGAGAGAATATTTAAAGCTGATGATCCTTTGAATTTAACAAGGAAGCTGAGTACCTTCAAAGGTCCTTCTTACATATACCACTGAACAACTGTACTTCACCCTAATTTAACAAATTTAAATTATGTATCTATGGGCACTAAAAATTGGGTTGCCATGTTTTGTGGCAGTTTTAATCTTTACTTTCCCAACCTTTCCTCCTAATAAGAAAACACTTTAGACATGTCTAGAAATATATGAAGATCAAATGGAAGTTAGCCTAAAAGGTTTGCTGTGAATCTGTACCATCCATATTACATACAGATATTGATGTTTCTAAGATCGTTTAGAAAACATTTGAGTCATGTTTTAACCACCATCACTTCAAAAAGAGAAGGCAGTCCGTCTCATTCTTTATTTGTACAGTGCCTAGCACAGTGGTCACACTGCTCCCAACACCAGCTACTATCCCAATAAATGGTATTAGTAGGCAAAAAACACTGCCTACCTTTAATGCTAAAACTGTGTCTTCTGTATTTTAGCCTTGCCCATTGTTCACTGCAAGGAAAAGGAATGTGTGTTTTCCGTTCTGTCCCAGTGGGGAAATCACTAACACTGTGTGCAGGCAGTTCAAATCCTAGCACATGAAGCGTGCATGTGTAAAGGAAGTGATCAGAAGCCACAATGCAAGAGACAGGACTGCCCTCCTTGGTGGACAAAACTGCTCTCCTGGAGGCTCATGAGTGATGGACACATCCAGAATTCACACCATCGCCAAGTTTACGGGTTTAGAGTTAGTATGGGGAAAAAAGGGGAGAGGGCATGACCCTCATTTTCTAATTTTGCTACCCATTTTGAAATTCCCTCCTATAGCATGTTTCTGAAGTTTCCACAGAACAGGCTGAGCTCCTTCCCTACCTGCCTTCTTTCTCTCTATATGACTACACTATTTCATCTCACATTAGTTTTCTGCTCGATGATTTGAACTGGTTCATGTATACACGCAATCAGGGAGTGCCTCAGGGGAGGAGCACTGTCCCAAAGCCAGGGCAGGGCAAGGCTGGAGACTTCCATCTTTTGGAGACAGTATGTTGTAGTAGCAGCTCAGTTAGCTGCATGGCTCCAACCCACCACACAAAGACATGCTTCTTGAATGGGAGACAAGTCACAGACAGAAAAGAGCTATCTGTAAAAGCTGAAGATGAAGCTCTACACATACTTAAAATCAAGTAATTCAAATAACTGCAGCTCATGTTCAAGATGCCTGGAAAAGTGTTAGATGGTCTAAAACTTTTTTTCTTTTTTTTTTTTCTTTCTCATTTATTTTATTTATGAGCTGAAAAACTGAGGGAATTACATGGTTTTGCCCATCATTTCAGCAGGGATTCAAAGGAAAGGGAACCTGGAATACAGGAAACATGTTACCTCCTGATCCATCTCCAGCTGTAAAGTCTCCCCCTTGAATCATGAAGTCTTTGATCACACGATGAAATTTACTTCCTTTGTATCCATATCCTCTCTAAGAAAATGAAATAATTATTTAAATTAATGTAACATCCAGTTCTATACAGTCACATGGAAACACATATGGGTGAACGACCAGATTTCACAAATACACCACCACCAGATACAAACAGTGGCAAGAACATTAAACTGAGATGCAGGTGAATGTAGCTGACTGCTTTGCCACAAAGCAGGTTATCAAAGCCACTGCCTTTATTTGACTGATACCCTACCACTACATGCCAGATCTGCATGGCAAGTACAGTCTAAGGTAGCAATATCCAGCATCTCATAATTACATCTTGCGAACCAAGCCACAAGGACCTGAGAAGTCACCACACCAGTGCACTGCCTTGGGAATGGCACTGTTGCACAGGCTCCACTGAATTAAGATTGACAGTTCACAACTGAAACAGCATTAAACAAATATTTGCTTCCCAATCCAAACTTGTGTACACTTAAGTGGAAGAAAACTGCAAACATACTTCTCCAGTTGCCAGCATAATGAAGTTCTCCACTGTTTTTGGGACAACTTTTCCAAACAATCCAATTACAATTCTGCCAATATCTTTGTCTCCAATCTTCACGTCAAAGAACACCTGAACATTTTTGAGAATAGAACAAAAGTGATACAAACATGAGCACAACAATAAGGCCAAGCTTTTGAAAGTACAAGGTATTAAGAAACTGCTTCTGGCTGGTCTATGTTAATAGTAACTCTCAGTTCCTGAGTGTGCTGTTTGAGAAAAATACTTCCAGAGCTATCAAAATCAGATTATGCAGGAAAATGTTTGAGAACTGGTGAATTCACTTTTTGTTTCTTACTGCTTCTAATGGCTCAGTGAGACTGCTGTATCACACATTTGAAGGCAGTGTTCAAGAAGACTTTTCCCTGACATGCATGTTTTTAAAGCTGTACAGAAAAGACAAATCGTGAAAGTAGGAAAGAACTCCAGTGTGGTGAACAATAACAGGGAAGTATAGAACTGACAATCCCCACAAATGACAGTTTGCTATCCACTCATAACCTTCACTGTTCTAAGCATTACTATGTATGTGATTAAGTACAGGCTAAAGCCTAAATGCCATTAAATTGACAAACAGTAGGAAAAAAATCCTACAGCTCAAGCAGGGAGTTGCCTTCCTAAATACGGATTCAAACCTGATGGAGAAAGGACCAGGCTACACTATTCACCTAAGAAGCTTGAAGCCTAGAAGCTTGAATGTAAATGTTAGAAAGCAACTTCAAAAAGGCGAATGAGTTATAAAGTGTTTGAACATAGTTCAGGATATATGAATAGGTACTTGAACGTGAAAAAATGTTCCAAAAATTACTGAAAATAGAAACAGCTGTCAGGAAAAGAGACATTTTGAGGTTCTGTAAAAGTTACATAAAGACTATTACAACTTCTAGGAAACAGCAATGTGTATTCCTATGATGTGGTATTTGTTGTTCCTTGTGGTGCTCAACCACATATTACTTGTCTGCAACACTAAGAAATTAGTCCAGTAATGATAATAAATGACCACAGTCTCTTCAATGTGAATGCCTCTTTCATGCTCTCCTACTAAACATTTCTACCATTTCTTGATCTTCCATGTGGTTTTGACTGTTGAACTTTTTTGGCTAACTCTATAAAAGCACTATAAAGAAAATAAAATTCCTTTTGATACACCTCATTCATTTCCTTGGCACTAAATAACATAAAATTCTTAGATGTGTGGCTCCCAAAGTTTTAGCAGCTCACTTTAACCAACTTTTTAACATTTTCATAAACACACCTCTCCAAATTTTGCCACCAGGATTATCTAGGTCAGGGCTAATGCCTGCCTATAAACACACATTATTTTACCTGGAAATTTTCTCCTAGTAGGACTGCCTGAAATATATAACCATATGTAAGTAATGCAACTGAAGCTGCCAGTGACCCCAGATAGCAATAACCTTAAACACTTCCACAGACCACATGGAGTAAAGTCCATCACATACTGTAAACCTAACCCAACCAGAAGGCTTCACCCATGGCAAAGCTACTCTCCTAAGCAACAAACCCAGTACTTCCAAAAGACCAGCTAATTCTGTGAACAGCAGTAAGTTCCTGGCTTCCTCCTAGCACGCCACATACCTGTGCTACCTGCCTGGTGATTTTCAGAAAGCAATGTGCTTCCAAAGAATGCACCACAGAACATGTCTGTGCATATTTCTGACAAGGAAATCAAACACGGAAATACTCAGTAGCCGTAGGTATTGTTTTTTGCATAGAGAAGCCATGTTCTCTTAAGCATATTTCCTCAAGTTCTCTGAAAAGTCAATAAGCATACAGGCACTAGTGAGCTGGTCAACGCAGCCTTAAATATCAAAAAACATTTGGCCAGATTCTTTGCCAAAAAGTCTTAAAGAAAATAAATATTATACATTTTCAGTCTTACCAATATTTACATACAATCTTATTTACAACTTGCAGTATTTCAAGACTGAAATGAAAAAAAGAGTGCACCAGTAAGAGTGGCTGGTTCTCATCAATGTATTAATGTATAATTAGCACAAGATGGTGTATATGAAATTAAAAAATGGCCAAGAGTACTCAATTACTTAGGGTTGGGAGGAAGAAACTGACTGTGAAACAAAGATTTCCTGATTCCTACAGACCAGGTAATACTCACAATAAACAAATAAACAAAAAACAAACTCGCGATAAATCCAAATACTGCCGATGGAAGAGGGAATACACAGCCAACCTAAATCAGCTACCACTCAGAAAAGACATCTGGAGTCACCATGAGCAGTTTGATAAAAAGTCTGGCTCTGGGCTTGTGAAGATCAGAGAAGAAAACTGAATTTTTGTAATACTTCGACATGGGTAAGGACAAGAGATGCGCATAATTATGTATCGTGTACATTTGTACTATGCATTCACAGCCTGAGTGCTTTATGTAATTCTATCTTCTCTGGCACAGAACGGAAAAACCCATCTAAAGAAGATAAAGGGCAGCACAGATGCCCAAAGATCTGGAACACCTTTTATATGACGAGAGATTAAATAAAACTATGTAAATTGGAACAGAGAACTGTAGTGATTTGATGAGCTAAGTAAAGTTATGACTGGCCTGCACAAGGAAGATCAGCAGGTCCAATTATCTGTGTCCCACAGCAGAAGGATCAGGAAAGGGCACAAAATGAAATCCCAGACGTAAGGTCTGAAAAAGTAAGTACTTTATGCACAATTAAACTGCACTATATTGCCAGAAGATGATTCGGAGGCCACAGCTTATGAGGCTTACCCTCAAAAAAAGAATCAAACCCACGGACTACAAGTCCGCAGTCAGTGGAGGCCCCGCAGTCGGGAGGTTTAACTTTTGAAGTTACGGTTTCTATGAGGCAGAGGCAGGCTCCGCTAATGCAAGGTCTGCAGTGTGCCAACGCCAACAGAAAGGGAGCAAGCGGTTAAGAAACTCCCAAATCAAAACACAAAATGGGACAGCGAAGACATCTGTCCAAGCCCTTCCCGGACCCAACGCGCAGGGGCCTCCCTCCCGCCCAGCATCCCGCCCGAGAAACAGCGAGCCGGCGAGGGACCAGCGTTACGCTTACAGGGCCGGGGTGAGTGAGAGGCGGCCCGCAGCCCACCAGAACCCGCCGACAACAGGCGCGGAGCTGGCAGGAAAACCACCCACTGCGGGGCCCGCTGAGGAGACGCCGCGGCCCCCCTCACGACCGACCCACCCATCCCGGTTCGCCTCAGGCCGGCGCCCTGGGCGACTTTCCTTTCGGCGGAGCCGCCCCAGCAGCGGGCGAGAGTCACCTTGGCTGTCACGCTGGGTCCTCTCTTCTTGAAGCTCTCGGCCGCCGGGGCCAGGAAGCAAAGGCAAGCGATAGCGCCAAGCACCGCCGCTGGTGCCCCGCGGGCCATGGCGCGGAAGCAAGAGCTGCGGCGCCTGCGCCCGCCGCCGGGCGGCTCCTCCCGCTCCTTGTGGCGGGGGGGGGGGGGGTGGGGGGTGTCACCCACGGGTCACCCACCCGTCACCCCCCCGTCACCCCCCCGAGCTGCGCCCGGTGCGGGCCTTGTAGAGGGCGGGTGAAGGGGCGAGGCGCGGAGGGCCTGCGCGCAGCGCGGACGTCGGGACCGCTGTATGTGCTGATGTGGGCGCTGGCGGGGGTGGTGTAGCGGCCTACCCTCAGGCCCTTCTGTCCTCCAGGCCGGGCTCTATATCTGGTGGGTAGTGGGGCTGTCAGGGTGAGTCCCGGGTCCGCGGCTGTGTTTGCGGTGGTTATAGATGTCGCGGTGCCCACTCCTTGCGGGGAACGGGAAGAAGTGTGGTCTCCTGGGGCACAGGCTCGCCGAGTAGGAGCAGGAGTTACCTGTGAGGGGTTAAGAAGCTGTGCTTTGGGCTTTCAGCTGTCCGCACTCGAGTGTTCCTCGAAGAGCCCGCTTTTTGGTGAGGTAGCCAAAACAGTAGATGTTCAGGGCATCTTGGAACTGGATCATCTCTGGTACTAAGGTGCTGAGTGGAAACGTGACCCGCTAAGGCCTTTGTAATACTCATTTCCTTATGTTAGCAGTAGAGGTGACAGGCACCCATATCAGCAGCCCCGGCTGTGAGCAGGAACGAGCTACTCCAGATTAATTCGTCAAATGCAAATGTCTTTCCCAACCCATTGCCTACGAAGTTAGAGAGAAGGGATCCCAGTCTATGAAATTACTTTACCTTTGGCACTGATGTGCAGCCTGTACTCTTTGAATCATGTGCATTCAGAACTAAATGGTGTTGGTACCTTAGAAAATATACTAATTAGAGAATATACAAATAGAAAATATACAGCTTGTGACGCGTAGTAGAATTTGTGGTTTACAAGTGCCAGCATATCAAAGAAAAATGTTTATCAGATACTGATACACCGAAGCAGGAAGCTGACAATGGCTTATGCAAACACAGTGTTAAACTCGGCAGCACTATGTTCATGGGTGTATGGCAGTGCACTTACGCAGAGTCTGATGCTTGTTGCAAAGCCAGCCCAGAGCTCATATGCCTGAGGAAGAATAAGCTCTGCCCTGCCACACATACATTGTCACTGCTGCTGAGCCTCTCAGGTTGGGACTGTGCCTCCACTACCAAGTAGTAGATACAACAGTTACAAAATCGTTGAATCATTTAGATTGGAAAAGATCCTGAAAATCAAGTCCAGCCATTAACCTAGCATTGCTAAATCTGCCAGTAAACTATGTCAGTAAGTGCTTGTCTACATGTCTTTTGAATACTTCCAGGGATGGTGACTGTACCACTTCCCTGGTCAGCCTGTTCCAAGGCTTGACAACCTGTTCCATGAAGAAATTTTTTCTAATATCCAATCTAAACCTTCCCTGGCACAACTTGAGGACTTTTCCTCTTGTCCTATCACTTGGCAGTTCTGAGGAGACAGTGATGCTCACCTCTACATTCTCCTTTCAGGTAGTTGTAGACAGTGGTAAGGTTCCTCCTGAGCCTTCTCATCTCTAGACTAAATACCCCCAGTTCCCTCAGCCATTCCTCATCAGATTTGTGCTTCAGACCCTTCACCAGTTCCATTGCTGTTCTCTGGACCCACTCCACCTCAGTGTCTCTCTTGTAGTGAGGGGCCCAGAACTGAACACAGGATTCGAGGTGCAGCCTCACCAGTGCTCAGAACAGGGAGATGATCTGGCCTGGCCCTGCTGGCCGTGCTATTACTGATAAAAGTCAGGATGCTGCTGGCCTTCTTGGCTGCCTGGGCGCAAGCTGGCTAGTGTTCAGCCAGCTGATTACCAACATTCCCAGGTCCTTTTCTGCTAAACAGCTTCCCAGCCACTCTTCCCCCAGCCTGTAGTGTTGCATGGGGGTTTTGTGGTCCAAGTTCCAGGCCTGACACTTTGCCTTGTTAAAGCTCATACCACTGGCCACAGCCCATTGACCCAGCCTGTCCAAATCCCTCTGCAGAGCCTTTCTATCCTTCAGCACTTTCAGCCAGGATGGTGTCATCTGCAAATTTGCTGAGGGTGCACTCAATCACCTCCTCTGAATCACTGCTAAAGATATTAAACAGAACTGGCCCTATTGAGCCCTGGGGAACACCATTTGTGACCAGCTGCCAGCTGGATTTAACTACTCTTTGGGCCAGCCATCCATCCAGGTTTTACCCAGCAAAGAGTATGCCTGTCCAAGCTGCGAGCAGTTTTCTCTGCCTTTCAGGTGGCCTGTCTGGTTGACCAGATACCTCTTAGCAGTTGAAGTGCTGGGCATCCTTCTGGAACACTTCTTCTGGTTTAGTTTCATCTGACAGGAATCTAGTTTGTGCGTAGCGAGACCTCTGCACTGAGAGCCAAAGCACAGTGGGGGTGTTGGAAATACCTGCTTCAAAAGTGCACTCCTGATCCAAACTAAAAAGAACCACAGATATACCCTAATTCACACCTTTGACTATAGGTTGATTATAGACTGGTTTTCGTTAGGGATGTCACTTTTGTGCTGTTTTCTGTTCTGCCCCATGTGCTGCCTATACTAGTGCATCCAGGTGCAGTGAGATTTCTCATCGGGACACTTTAGTAAGAACTCATTTCCCAAGCACAGCAGAGAGTGGTGTGATTACTTGATTCCATGCTACATAGCACGTGAGCAGAAACACTGAATGATCATCTTGCTGAATTGGTGGCTGACATGAACAGATGCCCTTTCTTTAAGAGGTATAAAGCATCTGAAGTTGTGTCATCTGTCAAAGAACCACCTGGACTAATGTAGGTCTTAACTTTGGCACTTACTAATGTAGGGCTTAACTCTGGCCCATGTGTTGGCATTCTGTAAAACTGAAGGCTTTACTGCCAGTGTCAACACTGGTGGCTGTGGGGCTTCAGGGCATGGTTCAAGACATTTGCCTGGTTTTCCCTGTAGCTAATTAGATCCATTCATCTTAGTGCTGAACCAAAACTAGTCCATGTGTGTATAGGTGGTTAAAGTACTTCTGTGATCCTGTGGTTGCTGTATTCAAACTCACATTCTTATTTAAATAACAAAGGAGGCCCAAAACTTTACTATCTCTTTTGCTAGATTCTTTGTTATGTCAGTGCACTTTCAATGAGTATGTGACTAAGAGAGTTTACTCAGAGTTATCTAAGTGTTTCTTTTCTCTGCCAGTTTGATAAGGTATGGATAATTTAAAATTATGATTCTGCTGCCTTCCTTGCATCACATCACCACATAATAATGGTGGTGGACTAGATCTGGAGTTACGATCTACTGCAGAAATACAACAAAATCAAAAAAATATACTAATTTGTTGCAGTAGTTGTGTATAAATTTTGAAGAGACTGTACCTTGTACAAATATGTTAGAAAATAGTTAGGAACTTTAACTAAATACACACAGCAGCCCACATATTTACTTCATCACATAAATTTCAATGGTTAAAAATCCAAATCTACCTTTGTTACATCTACCTATTCAGTATTTGTCTGCTCAGGCATTACAATTACACTAAACAAGAAATGGTACAGACTGTGGGATGTGATGAAAATGGAAAAAAGTTTGTCTTGGAGCATGTAAGGGGACATGTTAAAATTCTTCAGCACTCTGAAGGTAATATTTTTAGGTTTGCAGTGAGTGGTACAGAGCATTTTCGATACTCCAGATGTATGCGAGTCACAAGGTGGATGTTGACAAAAATATGGGAAAAGGTGGTGTCCTGGGTTCAGCAGTAGGAGTCATTTTTCTCCTTAATAGCTGGTGCAGTGCTGTGTTTTTGACTTTCAGCCTGGGAACAACACTGGTAACACTGATGTTTTTAGTTGTTGCTCAGTAATGTATACTTTGACTTTCTGAGTCTCATGCTCTGCCAGGGAGGAGGGGAAGCCAGGAGGAAGCAGAAACAGGACACCTGACCCAAACTAACTGAAGAGGTATTCCATACCACAGCACATCATGCTGAATACATGAACTGGGGGCAGTCACCCAGAAGGGCTAGCTCAGGTCAGGCTGGGAATCGGTCAGTGGGTGGTGAGTGATTGTAATCTCTTCCCCTGTTATTTCCCTTATCATTATTATTATTGGTGAGAGCAGCAGTGGTTTGTGTTATACCTTAGTTACTGGACTGTTCTTATCTCAACCCGTGGGAGCTACATTCTTTTGATTCTCTTCCCCCATCCCTCCAGGATTAGGGGGAGGAAGGGGAGGGAGCAAGTGAGCACCTGCATGGTTCTGAGTTACCGGCTGGGCTTAAACCACAACAGTTCTTTGTGGTGCCCAACGTGGGCTCAAAGGGTTGAGATAATGACAGATCTGACCAGAGTGGTTCTAATAGAATTTGTGATAAGCATTCATTGTTTTGAATTAATAGTCACTCGTGAAAATGCTGATTTATTGGCTTTCAAAGTTGTTGTTCATGATCTCAGGGTTCCAGCATGTCATACGTTACTTACCGCCGGTATTTGCTGGTTTAGTGTTTATTGGCTATGGGGCCTGGGCTAAGGTTCTTGTTTCATTGTACTTTATGGTAATGACTTGTAATACAATAGACTCATTGATCATGAAACTGATCTGGCTTGCATTCACAGTGTGGTCATCACCTCTGTACTTCGGGAGGTATATAATGGAAGTGTTTTGCAATTACACATCTTTTGTTTCTCCTTGGTGGTAAACCTGTGAAGGAGACATTCCCTTACACTCAAGCCCTGCCCCCCCACCCCCCCCCCCCCCCCACCCCTCCAGACCATTTACAGC